TATATGCAACCCATTTCTTAGTTGATTGTCTACACATACACTGATTCTTAACGATCTCAGGATCCTGTAATTGGATTTTAATCATTTTATATTCATTAGAATCGTCTCATTGAGACGAACATTTTGATGGTTAAATCGTCCAAAACGTCAAAAGTTATTCACAGTAAAAGGCTATTTTTGAAGCAATTTTAAAATTCTTATTAAAATTATACAAAATTTGAACGATCTTGAGATCCTGTGATTGGATTTTGCCGATTTTGGTCTTGTTAGAATCGTCTCATTGAGACGAACTTTTGGTAGTTAAATCATCGAAAATGGATCTGTAGATCTAAAGTTATTGGCTAATTTTACAAATTAGCTTATATGTAGTAGTATAAAATTTTTTTGGTATTATATATTATATATTTAAAAAAAGCTTATTTAACGTTAGCTTTACAATTGACTCATTCTCCTTGAACTATTTAGTATAATTACGTGCATTAAATAAACTCTCTAGTAATTATGTAAAATAAATAATTATATACACAAGAAATTACTAAATATTACACACCATAAAAAACCAATGCCGTAGACATTTGTTAAAATGTTCAATGATTAGGATTTAAATAAAATTGTAAAATTAACAAAATGTACAAGATATGCAAAGATAGAATAAAATCTATTAATTAAATATTATGCAATAAAATACTTCATGATGTTATAGTGTTGTTCTCTTCTGAATCATGAATATTATGTCGACTTTCGTATTTATCAATCTCTTTTTTTATTGCAACAATTAATTCCTATAAAGAAAAAAAATTATTATTATAATATATAAAAAAAACCAATTTTCAACAAAAAATTTTTTTTAATTCATTTCATTCACTTACTCTTTCTTTAATAGGTTTTGTTAAAAACGCATCCATTCCAACATCAAGAGCCTTTTTAACATCACTGCTAAAACTATTGGCTGTCAATGCTAATATTGGAATGTCTACACCTCGCTTTCTCAGTAATTTTGTAGCCTCGTATCCATTCATAACTGGTGTAATGATGTCCATTAATATACAAGCATAGCCTTTCGTGTTCATTGTTGCCTCAATCATATCTATAGCTTCTTTGCCATTATTAGCAATATCCACGATGTAATTATTACGTATAAGCATTTTAGATGTTACTCGTTGACATATAAGATTATCTTCAACAAGTAGCACTTTTAATGTTCGTGGTGATGGTTGTTCCACTTGACAAGTTTGTGATGTTGATGAAGGAAGAGATGCTATAGATGGCGTAGTATTTACATTACTGCTAACTATTGTGCTATTTTCCGTTTGAAGTGGTGTAGTATGTGTTTTATCAGAATCATTTGATAATGGGAGGTGTGCAGCATGTGATGATGACGGTGGCGTGAGTGATGTATTCGTTGGTGATAATATTGTTTGAGTTGGTGAGTTATGAAAGCTAATGTATAAATTTTGATTAGAATGTTCATCTATAACGACAGAATGTTGTCCGGATGTTGCATTTTGAGTGTTTAAAGATGTAGGTGATATAGGTGGCGTTACTGTAGGTGCATCGTTCTTTAGTTTTGTAGATATTAATAATGAGGTGTTGTCATGAGGAGATGGATCATTAGATTTCATCACTTCACGTATGTTTTCGGAATCATTCTGATTTTTGTCACCAGGATAATAAGTTATTATGGGAGGTGGTGTAGATGACATTGTATTATCAATAGAATTGTTCGTTGACTCTTCATTAACTGAAAATGATACTTTGTCATTCATAGTTGTGTTATTTTGATGGGAAGAACTAGCTCTATCTAACCCTACTGCGTTAAGGATAATAGACCCCTTACGTTGAAAGAAACCCCCTTTAACTACGCCATCATCAGATTCTTCACCATTAGGTAAAGGTTGCCTCCGTTTTCTTCTAACTGTGCTTTTATAAGTACGGCCAGGACGGTTTGTTTTTGCTAATGACAAACTCTTTGAACCACGAAGTTGTACTTTAAATTCATTGATTGAATCTGTTTCTAGCGAATTATCCATTTCATCAATTGAATTAGTACTAAATGTAGTGTCCAAAGATCCACGATGAAGATTATTCCGTATATTTGTATCATCTGTTCGCAACCAAATGTCAAACCACACTCGATTTCCGGGTTGCTTTTTTTGAGATTTATCAACATGAAGTTTCCCTCCCATAACTTTAACAATAGCTTGTGCTAGCGCCATTGAGAGACCTTGTGCATGAAATCTAGAGCCTATCGATGAGTTTGTTTTAGAATAAGGTTTAAATAATTCGGATATTTCATTATCTGAAGATAAACCTTCACTTTCATCTTTTACCGAAAAACGTAACAATACACCATGTATACGATGAAGCCGTAAAGGATGTATTTCTAATTCGATTATTCCACCTTCTGGCGCAACCTCGATCGACCGAGCTATCAATTTATTAATGACCTGTTCTATACGACGAGCATCTCCATATACATTATGTGGAATATCACTATGTATGATTGTTTTTAATTTGATTTTTTTATTCGCTGCTTCAAATGATTGAATCCTTGCTACATTTGGTATCAAAATATGAAGATCAAACGGTTCACATTTTAATTCTATCTCATACGGATTGGGATTAGTTAAATGTGTAAGATCAAGAACGTCATTAACAATAAAACTTAAAAATTTTCCCGCTGACATAATATAATCTAATTCTTCTTGCTCCTTTTCCTTGAATGAATTTTTTAACATTTCAGCAAACCCAAAGATAGCATGTATAGGGTTACGGATCTAATAAATATGCATAGTTAATAATATTGGCTAAAATATTAGTAATATACAAGAAAACAATTAAACATTATTAGTGTACCTCATGACATAAAAAGAAAAGAAACTCTGTTTTAGATTGATTAGCCATTTCAGCTTCTTTTTTCGCCTCAATGACAGCTCTTTCATGTTCTTTTTTAAAACTCACGTCTCTAAACATTACTACTTGGGTAAAATAATTTTGTTCCACAACTTGTTGTGAAAAATTTGCCTCAGCTTCAAAACAAGTTCCATCTTTTCTTCGTGCCATAACGTCACGCATGCCGGGACGAACTGGTACTTGCATTGGATCATAATCTGAAATTTCCCGTTCTTCAGCCGGAGTTTCGACTACGGGAATCAGCAATTGATTTACGTGCATCTTGTTTTGAACTTTAATATCATCAGGAGAATAACCTGTTAAACGAAGCGCGTGTTTATTGGCACCAACTATCTCACCCTTGGCATTAAGTGCAACCAATGGATCTGCAATAGCCTCTAATACAGCTTTACTATCAGCTGTAATTGCTTTTAATAAATTTTGAGTTCTACCCAGTCTTCGAGCTTGTATGCTAACCTTGTCTCTTGCATTTAAATATTTCCGGAAATATCTGGAAGTGAGAAAGCCTAATAATCCAAAAAATAATATAAAAAGCACCAAAGATACTGAAGGCATAGTTT